CATACCCCTACAATGGATATATGAGATGCGAGAGATCTCCATCATTACGTAATGAGGAGGTTGTACTCTCATTTACTTCAACATAATTAATCAAATGATCCTTGTTAACTTGAAAGGAAATATTAGATCTTGAAGGAAAAAAAAACTTTGATGAAATTTGGAGTAACAAGTAAGGGATTTAGGTCAACTAATGAGAACAGTGTCCCACTTTGCAGGTCCAGTTGGGAGTCGAAGAATTTGCATGTATGCAAATGATGTGCAAGCTAATTGCGTAACTCCACAATCATGAATAATTAAGTGCAGTGGTTGTATGCCTGTTGTGTCTTTCTGTGCTGGCTCATGGAGTGACTGAGGCGTGTCGTTTGAACCGGGTCAGTGTGTGAGAGCCACTGGCTTGCAGCGTCATGCCACGACTTCTCTGATACCACTGGATCTCTTAGTACATGGCTGATTTACAGTAATGGCTTTCTAATGCCCGGCCACACACTCACCAAGCCCTCGGATCTGTCAGAGACATCAACGCCAGCAGCGTCCTGTCACAGGTCACACTGGTGTTTATTTTACTTGAGACTCGGGAATGAAGATTCTCAAAATCATCAGTTTCACTGGGTGCATTTTCCCCCTAAAACAAGAGCGAAAATAACACATTTGTAAGATGATATCCACCATGCTGGACTTTTCCAAGCAGGCTAGGAAAGTATTTTTTGGAGAGCGAGTTGATTTTAACAGATTGGCAGACTTCTGTGCTGACTCCTAATGACTTGTAACCGAACGCAGTGACAGACTAACGATAATGTTCTGGCCCATTCGACTTCAAACAGTCTGCTGGTTTTCGGCATTATTATTTCATTTCAAAGATTAAATATGCTACACACATGTCCCTCCCGCGTAGTGATTATGTATAATTAAAATGTTTATAAGTCTCCAAATCAACACAAAATGTCATAATGAATTGGTTTTTCCAACCACTGACATTCTCTTCCTGTTTTTCCTGCCACATAATAGGTCGCACTTTGTCATTTTCCCCCTTTTTTACGAGCACTTCTAGCAATGCTAAAAATGCTCAAAGGAATTGAGAGCCCATGGCTGCCTCGTTGGGCGAACTCAATGAAGATTTACTTGCTGGGGTGCACATAAAAATGGATTAGAAAATTTATGATCTTTAGCTCAAAGAACAATGAGCGCATTCTTTTTTGTAGAAATTGAAATCCTTCTGTTACACAGAGTTGCAAGGTAGCTTTATTCAACTACCACTGCCAAATCTGCCGTACATAATTTTTGCTTAAAAAACATGTTAATGAGCCACAGTGTCCATATCTGTGATACTTGTATACACAACAGTGTTCTCTGTCCCTTGCTGTTGAGATGCATGAAGACTGTTTAATGGAGCTTTTCCTAAGCAAAGTCCATATAAGGCATTTGCAAGTACCAGGAAAATATATTAGTGAAGTGTTGTTCACTGGTTTTCAAGTAATCACGACAAATCATATGGCAGTCTCCCTATTTCTTCTGACAGAAGAGCGCACCCTAATTAAACATGCAGAATGGGAGAAGAACACATGTTAATTTAATGTAACAAAAATGTTGATTTTTATGCAGGCCCCTTTAAAATATTAATAGAGTAGGCTTGCATTCCGTGACGTATCAAAGCATTTCAAGATATGCTAATGTGATGCATGCTGCCTCTTTCTCTAACGAGCTGGACGGGAGCATTCTTCCAGACCAGGCCTATAGGCTTTAAATCCTCTGCCTCAGTGGTGCGCACACCATTAATTACAGCCTTAAAAGACCAGTAATGACCTCCTGTTCTTAAAATTATTCAAAAGGTTGGACACAACTATATGGGAGCAGTTTAGTCCCCTAAAGACAATGGATTGTGACAATTCAAATGGGTGTAGAATTTACTCTGTAATCATCTGGACAGTTAATCGGAAGGAACTACGTGGGTACAGTAGTGCCTTTTTTAATGCGATAATTCTGTCTTTCTTTTCTGGCCTTGCTGATTTACATTTTATGTTTTGAAGCAAGACTAATTATAGATTTGCAATGCAACTAATTCATTCACTTATAACACTTACAAATATGAGGCATTCGAGCAGAATGCAAATAATATTGGCTACGTTTTTCACACATTTACCATGGAACCAGGTAAGTGCACAAGCTGTGAAACCTAGAGCCTCTAAAGCTAGATACTTCTATTCTTAAACATTCTCTATATGTGCTAGAGCAGCATTTTTGCCTACTGCCTGCTCCTTCACTTTACATGCATGAATATTTTTAAATGTTGTGCTTGCAGAATGAAAAACTTACATGCACACATGCCACTGCAGTAAAGTTTTGAACACAGATCAATGGTAGATGTCTTAGTCTACAGGTTCAAATAGCTTATTATATTGTAGATTAACAAAAAAAGCATCAAGACCACCATTTCAGTCTACCTAAAATATCCACAAGATCGTCTCAGAAAAACAGAACCTGAACAATCTACAATCCAACGAGTCAGTTTGTGAGCTGCATTCCTAAACACAACACACGTGCAGTTCCGCGAGTGACCGATAGGTGGCGTCTGATGCTCATAGATCAACATGCCTGCGACTCACGATCCCTGCAGTCGAAATAAAGCTTTATTGAAGTACGTGGTCGCTTAAATCCCTCTTTCGGTCAGCTTTCGAGATAATTAAGACGAAAATGGGAGCAACTACCAGAAAAATTATTTTTATATATGTTTTTCCAGCCATGTGGGCCAAATTACAGAGCTCCACACAACTTATACCCACATTTTTAAAAAGCAGCATAAAGAAACAATAGACTTAAACCTTACAAGAGTGGCATGTCCACGTCTGCCTTTTGCGTTAAATCGTGCGAGTAAAATCTACGTTGATTTTCTTTAGTGAGGAACAAAAAAAAATTAATATTCATCATAAAACAGACTTTTGGATTAATTTCATTGCCAATATAAAGACTAAAGCTGCTGCTTATCTCAATTAAATATGAATCAGGCGTTTAGGTTAAAAAAACAAAACAAAAAACTTTTGACCTCCTTCATTGTTTTTCCAGCACAATCTCTTTTTTGTGTGTCAGCTAAAGCGCATCTTCTTCGGAGAGAGAAAAAGTTTCAAGTGCAAAAGCTGCTGCTGCCTTGAAGGCGATGCTTCTGCCTGAATAATTCATCCTCTTTTTGGTGCACATAGAATCTGGGGATGAAGATGTGACGTGTGGATATGATTTTTCTCAGGAACAAAGGGAATGTGAAAATGCGAAAATGAAAGACAGACAAGAGCCCGAGCAGATGTGACGAGATGTTGTGAAAGGATAGCTATTCTAGCATACATACTCTCTTCATCTGCTCTACTCTCCACTCTCAACTCTCTCTCTCTCTCTCTCTCTCTCCATTCCTCCCTCCCCCTCTCCCCTCTCTTTAGCCCTGTGTGACTCTTCTGTTAACAAACAGCATTTTCTTCTGCATCTGTCCCTGTAATTGTAAGTACCTCATTCTATTACCATATTGTATTATTTCATACTGTATCCGCTGTGTGTCTCTTTTATATTAAATAGCCTGTTTATGTTAAGTTAGACCAGAGGAGCTCAGAAAAGCAGCACTTAACTTTAGATTGATTGGGGAAATTTAGACCGATTTGGGAAATTCCTTCTTATTTCTTTTTAAACCGTCTGACTTCTGTCGCAGTTTGTACCTCAGTCTTTAAAGGCGAGGCTGATCTGAGGTATTGGTCTCTTAGTCTATTTCACCAAGTTATTACAGACAGTTAACAATACAGTGGAATCAGCTTCCATTTATTTAACTGGAACAGTTTCAGAGTGCCAGGTGAATTAATATGGACACTTAATTGTATTCACACCTTTATTATATTTTATAAACAATTTTTAAAACGTGTTGTCGAAATCTGGATCATGAAGTGGCGTGATTTAAAACATTTCTCTCAAACTTCAGCACACGGCAGTCAATGTTACGTAGCATTTTAGCAACAGTTTGGCATTTTTGGAAGCTGATTATAATCACTAAATTCTACATAAGACATAGGACAAAAAAAAAAACTCAGACTGGTCTCAACATCGATTTAATTAACAATCTCTAATTCATACGTCGTATAATTACGGCTGATTACTAAACGAAATTTTACACAAGGCATCGATTTCTGATTTGTTTTCAGCCATTAAAGCTCCTTCGTTAATTCTAAAGGGTTAAGATAAAAAATGCGCAGCCTTAAAAAAATCTTATTTATTATACCGAACAGGTTTTATAAAATAATAGATCCGTATCCGATTTTGCCAATTCATCACACTTAATGATGGGTCAATAATCGTCTTTATTAGAATTGTCCGCAGCGGCACCACAGCGAGCTCTGATAGGCAGTGACCTAAAGGAGCCCCTCAGGTTCACTGCTGACAGGCTGAAGTTACAGAAACGGACATGACTTTCTTTTAAATAATACTCTGTGGGATGTGATGGACAAACTGACCGTCTGCGACTTTCATGCTTTTAAGTTTTGACTCGTCCAGCTTAGAGTGTTGCAGCCGGACCCGGTGAACGTGTTGGTGCACGCTGCTGTGACCCAGCGCATACATTGACCTCAGAAAACGGGTAGCTGCTAGTTTTCCCGCGCTTGAGTTACAGAGGAACATCACGACGCTAGACTGATTCACAGCCGACAGCTCGGCTCGTCTGATTTTCTCCTGCCTCGGAGTGAAGAAAGGCTGGTCGTCTTAAACGAGTCTGAGGTTTGAGGCTACACAAGAAGTTCACTAAAGTGCTGATAGTGCTCACTTGTCTATTTTCACAGCTGTGCTTGTGGCTAAATCACTCAATCACGTGCTGAGGAGGCGATAGATTTGACCAAAAGTTCGCCAGAAACGCACAGAACCGGGTCAGAAACCGAGTTTGAAACTTTTGCTCTCGACTAAAGAGGAGTAGAGGCGGAAAAACAGAAAAAGGGGGAAAGGAATGAAAGATAGCGTACAGCCTAACATACCCGCATGTCGGTAAGACTCGGGTCTCGTGGCAGTTGTTTCAGAGATGTTAACGCATCAGCAAAGCTGCGTGTCTTTTTCTGGCCACAATCGCCGTTACTTCACCCCTCCCCGCTATTCTCTCTCTCTCTCTCTGTCTCTCTCTCCCCCCCTCTCTCTCTCTCTCTCTCTCTCTCTGTCTCTGTGTGTATCTCTCTCTCTTTCTCTCATGCATCCCTCGTGTGGGAGGGGGAGCCCTGCCTCTTTCGCCTTGCTCAGATCAATGCCCTGGCCACTCACTCACTTTCTGATGTTGCGCGACGGGAAATGCTTTGAATACTTACGACATGGCCGCTCGCATTGATCGCCAAGGTTGACAGCGGTACCCATCGCCTTTCTCTCGCGTCTCCTTCACGCGCAGAGTGAGTGAGAGAGAAAGGAAGACAAAAACATTGGCGACTAGTTTACAGCAGTTTTTTTTTCTGACAGGGGGCAACTTTTCGAAGCCGGAGCGGGATTCCCAGCCCCAGCACGGCCAGCGGGATCGCTAAGACTTTAGTTTCTCATCTTCGCCCCTCCACAGATTCGCGGCGAGCGTTGTTTTTCTGACGCGTTTAACGCCGACACGGGATACGGCGAGGACGAACGTCGCTTAACGTGCCCGAACCCGGCTCACGTCACAGGTAAACTTTTCTTGATCAACTCTAACCTGTTGTTCCGTGTTCCTCTGGTCATTTGAAGACGTTTTTCTGTGTCAGTTTTCGTAAAAAAATAAACATCGCCCTTCAGCGCTTTGCGGGTCCATCTGTACCTGTATGTCAGTTACCACGACAACGTCACTGCAACGGTTCGAACGAGGCGTTTGACTGTTTTTTTTTTGTTTGTTTATTTTCGTTTTTGGTTCGTCTGGCGTTCTTTATCTCGTTTACCGCGTTGGCGTTGTCTCTCTCAACTACACGTTTGACCTCACGGCTGGACGTTTGAACGTGTAAACCCTGAGCCGCAGGAGATTCATGTGTAGCAGTCAGTCAAAAGTTAGCTGAAGTTTCAGCTCTTCGTGTCTCTGTCATGTTGTGCATGCCTGGTTGTTGCTAATGTAGCAGGCAGCTGGAGGCTCATTCACAGCAAACGAGAAGAAGGACGCAGATAAACCTACAGAGAGCTCATTTCAGAGTATCTAGACGCCAACAGCTGCTGTTCACAGTGTTACGGGCGTTTTGAAGAGGCTGTTTATTTCAGAATCATTGCGAGGCTGCGTTGTTATCCGGCTTCTGTCCATAGGAAGCAATTTCATCTGTGTCCACACAGCGGTACTGTTCATTGCCAGTGACGGGAGCTCAGGCAGCGACTACTTCGGTTCCGACGCATCAACAGTTTAAACACTGTCCACAAGAAGAAATGCGCGCGTGTCATTTGCATTAGAACATTTTTTTTATTTTATAGTCTCTAATCTACAGTGAGCCGCATCCGGCCGCTTTCCTTCGGTCAGAGTGGGGCTGGTGGCCGGATTGAGAGTGGAAATTCTCCCCGAGTTCACTTTCGCCCGGGGTCACGCACACTGACCTTAGAAGAATGCATAAGCCATAAATTAAAATGAAGTGCTCATCCAAAGGCCGGTCCATTTACACACAATACACAAGTTGGACAAGCAGGGCTTCTTTTAGTCTCCCGTCTTGAAAAAAAAGGAAGCTGCTCCGAAACGCACGGCGATAAGGCTCGGAAAGTAAGTGAACTCCAGCAAACTATTAGCCTCTCATGATGCGTCCTCGTATTTTTATTGCAGTTATTCTGTTTAATGAAAATTACGCTAACATTCCGGATTAACGCGAGGATTTATTCAAATTTTAAAAAACGCACCTTAGCAACAAAAATAATAAGTTTATGACTCTGATCTGCCCTTTAGAATAATTTCACAAAAATTGAAATTTCATTGCATTAGTTTTCTATGACAAGCGCTTTTCCGAATAGGGACACCTACTCAAAAAGTTTTATATTTTAAAAACATGTTTTCACTCAGAACCAGATGCTTTTGAGATTTCTACACACACTGCGCGTAAAAAGGTAGTAAGAGGACAAGCAGAGTGCAGCGTGTGTGTGTGTGAACTTTGTGTGTGTGACAGAGATAGCTCATCATCTGCAGGGTGTTCCCCCAAAAGCACACGCACTCACACACACAGATAAGCGCTTTTCGACTGCTGGGCACGAGGCGATAATATTTTAATAAGCACCGTCGCACGCTGGCGTATTTCGGAATTTATAGGCCTTTTAAACGCTCCTTCAGGGGATGCAGACTTGACTCAGTCCCTCATCATACAAGCACCTACACGGGAGTAGGTCTTAATTCTGTTTGTGCCGCTTTAAATATTTTTTGACACTTCTTTTTTTTCCAGTTCAAATGAACCCCTTTGTCCTTCCCTTCTTCTTTTAAAAACCTTTTGAAAAAAAAAAAAATCCACAAAAGCCTTGTTGTTCTCCTGAAGGGGTGCAATCTGACACCTTAATTAAACACAGCTTAACTTTGCTCGTTTTTTCCCCTTTTCTCTTTTTTTTCGTCTCAGAAATTGTGTCCAGTCTGTTAAGAATAAGCCGGTGTCTAATAATACATTCTTGTCTTAAGTGAGAGGGGCTGTTTGAAAAACAATCCCCCCCTCTCCTCCTCCTCGGCTCGTCCCTCTGTTGGGCTGAAGCTGATCCCGTAATGGCATTTTGTTTTGAACAGTTGCTGTTTAGCTGCGAGTGGAAGTTCCCCTCATAAGGTAAGGTGCCACCGGAGCCCAACGCTAAGTCCAAATGGCACGTTTATAATTAGACTGCCCATTCAGCACATTGTCCTGACTGCTATACACGGATGTGCTGCACTGTCTGGGGCTCTCAATAGAGATACTTCATTCAGTGCCTCTGCGCGTGTGGAGTGTGAGGACGGGGCTCCTCTGATGGACGGCACGCACACAGTTGTCCCAACGCAGCATGTGTAAAATCACTAACTAAATATATGTATATTTTAAATTATGAAACAAAACAAAATTTAATTTAAAGATGCCAAAAAAATCATAACCGCAAATTAAATTTTATTTACACATGACACAATAATATTTTGAGGCTCAGCTGAATGGACGTATGTTAGAGTCAGCAGCCTCATCGACACTGTGCACGTCCTGATCAAAGTAAGGAACTATTTTTAAGTGATTTTAACTGCAGCCTCCTGTCTTAAAAAAGAAACCACTACGAAAAAAAACGACTTTCACTTCATCCAAAAATTGCTCTGCAGAATGAACCCTTTTTCCTCAGTCTGTCCAGCTTGGATGCCGTTTTTTTTCACTAGTTAATTAAGATGCTAAAGCGGCTAATTTCCCACTGACCCGCGCGTGTCTGTTTCTGCAGGTCTGCGCGCGTGGATTTGGGGAGGAGCCTGTGTGGTCCGCGCGGCAGCCTCGTGCCTCCCTGACTGGATCCGACTGGGAACCGCCGCCTCGCCGCCGCTTATGCTGCCAGTAAGTGGAGCGCTGTGGACCCTCTTAGCCGTTTAGCCCTGTTGTCCTCTCTGCATTCTCTTTTCTGGAGCCTCGTCTGCTCCACCATCCCTCCTCCTTCGGTGACCCACGGCCGTGTGGTTGTCGCTGAAAACTTCCACACTCAAAGCTTGAGGTCTTTTTCTTTTCTCCTCAGGACGTTTCTCTCTCTCTCTCTCTCTCTCTCTCTCTCAGTTCACGTCCAGCTCGCGCGTCTCGGCGTCTTCTTGCCTTCACCTAAAAATGCTTCAAGTGGCCTGTGTGAAAATGTAGGCTGTGTATTTATCCATTTATTTTCCTGTTTCAGTTTCTTCCCAGAGCAGGGCAGAATAAAACGAAGCCTTTTCAGGACTAGGTGAAGCCTTAGGTCGGCATAGCTGAAAGAGTGTGAATGTTATCTGGGGGAGAATCAGCGTCGTGATGTTCCGCACATTCCTATAATGTGAAAACAGTAATTATCATCCGCTGAAAATGAAGTGAAATAGTTCTTAATGTGTCTAACGGCGCTGCTGCCTGGCTGAAAGATTGTCCAAAGAATCTTAGCAATAAACCAGCAGCCTAAAATATGTTGCCTGCGAGATGCCGGTGTGCTCTTTGTCAGTCAAGCGTCCAAATGGCTCTTAACGGTTTATTATAAATTGTACATGCAGACTATGGCGGGTATAACACTGCCTTCTTTTAGTGAATTGAATGTGGAAGACTTCTCCTGGGACAGGAGCAGCGCGGCTGGCATCAGTCGAATGCATTATCAGCCCTGAAATCTGGGCAGTAAATGAACTTTAAATAATTCCCTTTCATTTACATGTGTGCATTCAGTCTTTTGTCAGTCATGTATTTATTTAGGACCCAGTGTGGCCTGTTCAAATCTTTGAATTTAATAGGCAGTATGAAAAGTCATATACCTTTATCATTGGGTACATATTTGTTTTTTATTTGTGATCTTGCAAGTTTCTTTTTTTTTTTGTGATAGCAAGCAAGTTTTAAATTTTTTTTGGCTGGATAATTCATATTAATTACTTAATTGGCCTTTGTGTTATTTTTCTCCTTTTTTCTAGCTTACAGTGCATGTTTTATCCTAACGAGATGTGCATCCGTATGGATGAACGTAGAGGAATTTCTAGGTGCAGTTTTATAGCCGTCCCCATCCTGTAACTAGTTTATCCATGGATAATGTCCTTACCAAACTGAATTCATTGCCATCAAAATTATATTACTTGTAGGAATATGAATAAAAAACACTACTCTTCCTTCAGAGGCACTAGAAATTGCTGCCTTTCTGTGCTCAATTCGAAAATCACATATATTGTGTGTCGCTTAAAATCTTTTAAGCAGTTATAATGTTTAGAAAATCTACAATTTTCCGCCTGACCTGTCTACTTTAGATTGTGAGTATTGTTTTTTTATATACTGAGCAGACTGTTGAGTGCGCATGCTGGAGCAGCGTCTCGTGCGTGAGAGAATTCGTCCATGGATCAAGTCGGACTTTTTGTTGTGGTGGTCCGCAGCAGGGCAGGGTGGCTCTGAAGGGCTCAGCCATGTTGATGGTACTCAGGTGTGCGTTGCATTGGGTGAGGTTAGAACAGTGCCAGCAGCGCCCTAATGATAAACACCAGTGGAGGTAAACAACAGCAGGTCTGGTAAAGGTAAGGCGCGCGGCAGCAGTAGGGGAGGAAAGCTGGGAGAGAGAGAAGTGCAGCAGCACATGTTGTGACATCTGTCTTTAAGCGTTAGCTAATTTGCTGTGGAATATTTCAACAATGATCAAAACCGATGGCAACATGTTCATTAGGAAGCTGTTTTTTTTTGCCCCCCCCCTGCTTTTGTGGTGGAGAGTCTCAAGTTTCTGGAATGTATTATTGAAGTTTTGCCACACTTTTTAATTGCTGCAACATTAGCTGGCTTTTCATGTAATTAATTAGTGATTTGCAAGGAAACAGAAGGTGGCACTGGCCATATTAGTTTTGGGATCATGTTAACTTTAAGGACTGTAATAATGTTACAAACCTTGTACTATATTTTTAATTTCAGATCATTTTTTACATTAAACACAAGACACTTAAGGTTAAAATTGAAAAAAAGGTGCCAAGTGAAGCACAATGAATTGGCTATTTCTCTCATTGCTCTCATGTGGCCTCAAATGAGCCACTCAAAGTCATTTTATTTATTTTTCTCATGCAGTATAGAAAGTGATACAGTATTCATTCTAGGTGCTCAGGAGGATTACAAAACCATTGTCATCCTCAGTGCAGGCAGTATGCTGACGTCTGTTTGAATTGCCCTTGTGCTCTCACTCTCATAAAACCCACTGATTTACATGGACCCGGGGTCAGGGATGTCGACCTGGTAGATTGAGAAAATCAAAGTTGTAATTCCAGGCTAACAATAAAATGACAGATAATGAATGCAAAGACTTTTGGTCGTGCGTGGACCTTTAGCTCCAGGGCTTAAGTATTTCTTTCCCCCCTCTGTAAGTTGAAATTAGGCAGCCTATACTTATCTATGGCTTAACAACACACCCAAATTGCAGTCTTGCTTCTGAAGAAAAAAAGGAAGGGACACTGAGGTTACAGCACAGGAGAGCTTGTAACATAGCAATGCAGCTTGGCATACCTTTTAAACACAGTCTGCACTGAAATGGATTGTTCCTTTCTGAGAGCTTTCATTGTTTGTTTGTTTGTTTGTTTGTGTTTTGTTCCCCGTCTGCCCCTCAAGTCCAGATTTGGTCTTCATCCGAGAGCAGAAAATTGAACAGTCTTTGATTTCTTTGGCTCTCTTCGGAAAATTAAGAGTGCATCCTTTCGCCCGGCACTAGAAAAGCTTCTGCACCTGTGGCCCACAGCGGCACAAGGAACCACTGAAAGAAAAGCTTTACACTCTGATTTGACCCCAAGAGTAGATTGCAGCCCCCTCCCCGCACGTCACAATATTAGCCGTGTTACAGAATGTGCCGGTGTAAAAATAGAGCCCTTCTTTGCATTTGTCACATGAAAACACATCATCGTTCAGAGCGTCAGATAGATCTTTCTGTGTTCCCCATGCTGCGAATATGAGGAATTAGGTGTAGGCAAAAAAAAAAGCTAGAATAGCTACGGTTAAAAAAAGCATTCTAGTATTTCTCTTTTTATTTCCCAATTTCTTTGCTTAATATACACGTGAATATGTAGAATTAATTGGAGGGGTCTCCTGTGCTGTGAGCTTTTCCACACAGGTCCTGTCTCTATGGGAGTTGTAATCAGCACTATCAGGTGTAGGCTCTGGTGTAACACATTGTTTTTATGAATCAGAGTAAGATTTCTGTGGTGCATATGAAGATTGTGGGGTCATTTCCATATCAAAGCAGCACTGTGTGTGGAGGCTGGCAGTAATTAAAATGCAGTGGTTTGGAGCCGCGTACACTCTCTCTCCCTCTCTCTCTCTCCCTCTCTCTCTCGCTCGCACACACACGCACGAGCACACACACGCTCTTCGAGGCGGAGGGTTTGCCGGGGGAGAGAGAGCGAGCACAGAGCAGTGTGCAGGCGGTTGACTGCTGCATGCGTCTCCAAATGCACTTATAATTTTGTACAAATGTTTATGCCAGTCCATGCTCTTTTGCGGAGAGCTTGTCCCGCAGCCAAAACCATTTCAAGACAAAGTTAGTTTGCTTTTTCCTAACCTTCTTGTTGTGGCCTCCCATCTCGCTCTGCGCTCTCTCCAGCTGCTCTCCGAAACACGGGCTCTGCCATGTGTTTAACCTTTAATTGGTGCATGAATAAATGATGGGAATCCTTCTTTTGATATGAAGGCTGAGTTTATGACTGTGTCTCCATCGCTGTTAATTCTTGTCGCCTTGAAAGTGTAACTATACGCGTGTCTGTGTCCGTGTGCGTTTTCTCTCTTTCGTGCACCCTGCTCTGCATGACTTGTTTAATAGCAAATGTTTCCGAATCGTTTGGACACAGTTGACAGTTTATTACCGGGATGGCGTTGAGTCTTTTGCAGACTAGGCCTCTATAGATGTCTTGTTCCTCCTCAAATCTGTCCTGACGGTGTGTGAAGTGAGATTCCAGCAGCCTGACCATAATGTTGCTCATAAAGGCACTTGGTTTAAACTGTTCCCCTGCGCTGTCATCTCTATGGGCCTTGGAGAGGCCTCTAAATATCACATGCTAGACCATCCTCAGTGCTGTTGATATATGGTTCTGTTTGTTGAGAGGGAAAAAAAAAGATGTAAGATATATATATATATTTATTTATTTATATATATTTTTTAATTATTTATTTTATACTGCCTTGTGGCCAGAACAAAGATTTTTTGAGGGGAGTCATCCTGTCATCATTCTGTCCAAGATATAAAGAGTGAACAGGCCTGGAGCATTTTAGGAATGTCTAATAGTAATTGGTGCACTGTTCTCAAAACTCGCTGCGTGTGTTCATCTTAAGTGGAAGCCTTGACACTCTTGTGATCTAGAAATTCAGTGTTTTCTTTCTGATTCTTGGTTCATTCTTCAAAAGATTGCAGTTTAAACCTTATATATAATGAAAAAAGGAAATAAAACTAAAATTCACATATTATCAAGCGCCCCACACACAGAATCTGGTACACTTTTTATATTGCCTTATGATGATCTCAGTGCCAGTTATCAGACGGCATAGATAAATTGAAAAAAACTGATAGTCAAATGCACTAAGCTTCGCTAAAAATGCTTTGTGGTAAGGAGCGGTATAAAATAATTAAATGTCCCCCTAAACTGTGTGTGCATTAGCAAGCAAAGCAGAGCTGTTGCCTGGCACACTTGGGTGCCAGCACACTCCACACTCCACACTCATGCTCTGAGATTAGAAGTTCACTGGACAGCATATCCCAGCAGCCAGTCTTCTACGTTCTCCGAGGTGTGCAGCCCAATATGCAGTGGCAGTCTAACGAAGAACAGCACTAGCAGCTGTTCGGCTCCAGTGGCGTGTCACTATGCATGTGCGCCTGTGCACGTGTTTCAGCTCCA